TAAATAATAATAACTGCCACTACAACAACTACCACTTATTGAGTGCTTATGAGGCATCAGGAATTCTGCTAAGCACTTTCCTTAAATTATCTCATTTACTTCTTAGACCAAGGGTAAGATACTCTGACATTTGGCTTTAAGCAAATTAACTTCTAGGTAGACCTGCTACAAATGTAGATTTTACATAACACTACTACTAATAGTAATAACTTATTTATAATGTATCAGATACTCTGCTGAGTGTTTTATATCAATGATCTCATTTAATCCTCACAATTGCACCCTGAAGCCACTACTAATGTCTCCATATTACTGATTGGAAATTGATGATCACATAATTTGTGTCAGAGCTGAGATTCAAACTCAGGCCTTATTAAAGCCAATACCTATAAACTTGATAGTTGATAGGTCATTCACAATTTGCTGTAAACTGCCTCCTCAAAAAAGAGCAAGGTAGCTTGCCATGATGGCAGAATTCTAGTAAATTCTATCCAGAGTCATATATATATATATATATATACACCCAACAGTTAGAAAACAGCAAACCTTTCTCCAAAGCATTTGAGATGTATAAAAAGTAAAAATGAAAAGTCTGTGAAAGCTTATGGAAGAGAACTATATTCCTAAAAGCAACAAGACATGTAATAAATGTTTTTTCTTTTTTTCTAGGTTTTTTTTTAGATTAAATCGTCCATACTATCATATATTGTATGGGTACTATTATATGATAAATATACTAAATATTACTAAATAATATCAGTATTGGCCAGGCACGGTGGCTCATGCCTGTAATCCTAGCACTCTGGGAGGCCGAGGCGGGAGGATTGCTCAAGGTCAAGAGTTGAAAGCCAGCCTGAGCAAGAGCAAGACCCCATCTCTACTAAAAATAGAAAGAAATTAATGGACAACTAAAAAATATATGGAAAAATTAGCCAGGCATGATGGTGCATGCCTGTAGTCCCAGCTACTGAGACTACAGGGAGACTGAGGCAGAAGGATTGCTTGAGCCCAGGAGTTTGAGGTTGCTATGAGCTAGTCTGACTAGAGGCCACGACATTCTAGCCCAGGCAACAGAGTGAGACTCTGTCTCAAAAAAATAAAAAAATAAATAATAAAAATAAATAATGGCAGTATTGATAACCATGAGAGAATAAGACAGTTTTCATCTACAAATGGAGGGGTGAGCCAAATACTAACTGGTCCTACCAACAGGAGAGAGATTTGCTTCCTACTGTTAAAAATATAGAAGTTTGATCTTAGGTACAGGTGTTGATACTCATTCAATCAATCATCATACATATTTATTGAGTATGTATGTGGCTCTAGAGTTAAGCCTTAAAGAAGAAAAACAAAGATCATGGCCTTGAGAATATTACATTTTTGTAAATAATATCTACATTTCCCTAGTCTGCATATTTAGAAAGAAGTCCTTGGATTTTTCCCAGACTATGAGAGAACTGCTCTGAAAATAGATGATTCAGTCATATAAGATATACTGACTCTGGCGTCTACTGGGAGCCTTACAACAATGGCAATTTTCAATAAAATAACTGGAGTGAAAATGATGCTGTGAGTTCGGAGATTCCTCTGCTAGAGGTGTTAATGTGCCCTGGCTCATTAGAGGATTGTATTCAAGCAAGCTGAGCTAAAGTTCACATTTTTGTGTTTTCTTTAGGCTCCCTTCCCTAGTTATTTTCCATAGCCTTAAAGTGTTCCTTATTATTTTGACCACATGTGCATTGTAATGGAAAAGATGTGATACTTTCAGCAGAATTGCTTAATTAGGTTTAAGTAAGCAGTACGTTCCAAGTAGGCTAGGTTTGCTTTCTAGCCATAAAAATGTGCCTGCAATGCGTGCCGTGTTCCCGAGGAGGAAACACAGTGATTGATGTGATGATAAAACAATGAAGGGAAGGATAAAGCCTGAGAGAAAAAAAGTCTCAGAAGAGAAATAAAGTAGGGTAGCAGCTGCCCTCATCTTAATTGAAGCATAAATTGTAGGAACAGGATTTGAGCTTTAATTTTAAGCACATACTGAGAGAGACTTTAACGTGTGTGTGTGCACACATGGGTGTGATGAAAAACACTTAAATTATTTTAATCCTTTGAATGAAGGGTTTCTAAACTATCTTTTTAAAAGGAAAAAGTTGCATGTGTTGAAGTGTACTGATTATCACTGGAAGGCATTAATTCAGTCAGCATTTAACAGAGAATGACAGAATCCATGACGGACAGGAACTGTTCTAGGTGCTGGTTATGCAGTAGCCTAGAAACCACAAAACATTTCTGCATTCATGGAACTGGATGCTTTTAATTTTCTGCACATACCTTCCCTGCTCCCACACCTCCCTTTTCCAGAATAATTTTTTTAAAAAAATATAGATTGTATTACATCACTTTCGTATTTATAACCGGAGTGTGTGTAAAACACTCCGGTCCAGCTGCTACCTATATGTCCAGCCTCTTCTTTCATCTCTCCCTATAAGCCAGTGTCAAGCTTTCCATTCTTCAAACATAACATTTACTTTTACACCATGGTGACTTTTTTAGACTGTACCCCGAGCCTCTAATGCCTTCATACTAATTTCTCATCAACTAAAATTCTCCCCAATTTATTGCTGTGCAGTTGAAATGCCCCTTAAACCTACTAATACTTTTAAATACTTTCAACAGTCCATCTTAATTTCTGAAGAATTTTGCTTGAAACATATCATTAAAGTTTTTAATTCATTTTTCCCGGAATAAGCTATTCACATGTCTGGGGTTTTTGTGTTTTAGGTTTTTTTCTTTTTTCTTTTTTTTTCCTGTGGGTGGGAACTACTTGAGGACATGGCAGGGGAGGTTCCTATTTTGTTTCTGGCCACACATTGTTTTACATGTGTTAGGCATTTAAAAAATATTTATGGGGCATATAAATTTGCAGCCAGAAAATATTTAAGATTCACATGATACTTTTCATGATGAAATCAGTTGCCTCACTAAATTCTCAAGATTTTATTTCAGAAGTCCTCATATTACTAAGAGTTGCACAGATGAGAATGCCTACTGTTCTCTGTAGAGAGCAAAGGATATATTACAAACACAGGTGCTATTTAAATGTTTTTCATGAACTACCTTGGAGACCGTATATCCTGTTACATTGGTATACTATTATCAGAAATGCTTAGGAAAATCTCACCTTTTATATCCTGTCATTATAGCTTACCATTGCTTCTATGTATGAGCATATAGTAATGTAACCCTGAGCTAGGCAAACCTTTACTTTAAAAATGCTTTAAGGAAGAAATATTGCTTCCAAGCTGAGGAACAGTACAAGATTTATGGCTTTGTTATAAACTTCTGAGAAACAGAATTGGGAAGCCTTGACACTCTTTTTACTTTACAGAGAAGCTAGCATACATCACCATAAAAGTGCAACTGCCATTCATATAACAAAGAACAAAAATGAATTTAAAATGAATATAAACCTAAAACTGCAATGTATTAATTTTCTGTTACTTTTAGAGGAGTTAACTATGAAAACTTATGAAATCACTGTCACGTTTTTATGTTAATAAGGACCTCCTAAATCATATATTGTTATGTGGAACAGTGGAATGAACTATTTCTGTATGTCCTAATTAACAAGATTCACTTCAAAGGACTGTGTGAAGAGAAGTTATGTTTCTTTCTAATACTTAGACCAAAATTACTTATTATACACTTTCCTCATGTTGATTACTTACACAGTTCAGAAAGATAAAATATCCTAAAGAATGAAAACACATGTCTCACAAATAGAGGAGAGCTCTTTGTGACAAGATAATTACTAATTGCATTATTACATAGTTATTTTCCTTCAAAATAGACTATTTGAGTTTATACTGTCTTGATATCATTTTATATCCAAATATGCCGTTAGGGAATTTAAAAGAGATGTTTTTTAAACTTTAAAGAATCAATTGTTTTCAAACACTTTAGTAAGTCCTCATTTATATCCGAACAATTGTTAGGCTATACTTTATTGGCTGAGTTCCATTTACTTTATTTTCAGAAAGTAAGAAAGCTGGGTTAGTAAAATGCTTAAGGAGTTCAAATATTAGTGACATAGAAAAATCTCCCCCTATTGTTTTCTAAATTAATGAGTTTTTCTTATATTTTCTGTTTCTATACTTGAACTTAAAGAAAATCTTGCTTTGTGATGCATACAATTCAAAGAAGCTGTCCAAGTTTTGATGATCTTAAAGTCATAGGAGAAGAATAACATGTATTTTCCCCAGGTAATTGTTGATAAATTTAAATTATATTCTAGGGGAGGAAGAGTGTTAAAAACAAAGATAAGAAGATCTGACCAAAATACAAATAATAGTTAAGAGTTTCCAGGATGCAACAGGAAAAGCATATAAAAAGAGTACTTGAATAAGAGTGTAATAATTTAAATTCCCAGAGCCACAATAATGATAATGTCATTATGTCACATTCTTAAATAATACCTAAATAGAACTTAGAATGATAAATACTTTCAAAGACACAGAAAGCAGAATAATGGTATAATCTTCTGAATTGGAATAACTTTGAAGCATATTTATAAGATCACACGCCATGAACTGAATATTCACATTTCCCTATTGTATAAAATATAAATACTTAGAGGCAACACTTTCTCTACTGCACCTTCAAAAGTACAACTGATTATGCCATTAGAGTTCAGAGTAGTTACTTAAAGAAAAAAATCTCCATAGCTTGCAATTTTTGACTATTGAATTAAACTAGCATCTGTAGTAGTCTTGTGTCTGCTTCATGTGTATCTTAAAATAGCTCCACCTTCCTCTTGAAAGAAAAAGGACTTAATTATCACTATATTCAGTCTCCTGAATCCAAGGGAGCCCCATTCTTCAACAACCTGCTCAGCGGACTTAGAAAACAGATAGAAAAGCTATACATTATTCAATACATCTTGGCAGCACACTAAAGCCCTTAGAGCAAATGATAAATGATCAGGTGTCTCCCTTGAACCTTACCTGGTTTACTCTTTTTAAAAATCCAACCCTTGCCGTCTACTACGCAAAGCTCTTGGCCAGTGGGTGAAATCCAAACTGGGTAGTTGATCATGATAGTTCCAACATGTCATGGGCAACAGTGTCTCTCAGAGTCCCACAAACCAAATGCTTGAAACGAACCTGAAACAAACAAGATATTTCTTCATTTTAATTGAAAAATAGTGAACCATGTCCTAGGTCCAGGAGGCATCACAACTTAATCAATAAGGGAATCAGAAAGGAGAGTGTGAGGGGCTATAAATGCCTCTCAAGATGCTGATAAACATAAAACTGGAAGACTGAAGTTTGTGTGCTACAGAAGATGTTTCTGCAGACTGCATGTTCCTTGTCATGTTATTATTGATCCATTTAACCTGTCAGTATTAAAAGTAATTATTGATATTAAAATGCACACATGTTAAAGTGTGTATTATTTTTCCTCCTTCACGTAGGTGACCACTTGGGGTAGGGTACTCAAAGTATTTTTCTGACTCTGCTCATAATATTCTCAGGGTAACTGGGCAATTAGATAAAACAAGGCAAAACCCATCAGCCACTACAGCAAAATCCTTCCAATAGTATGGATCAAGGACACTTTCCTTTGTTAGTTCCGACACTTAAGTCAATGTCAACATTCCTGGTGTAAATATTTGGTCATCTCTGTAGGGTAATGTATGAGAAACACCATCGAGGGAAATAAATGAAGTGTTTCAAATTCAGCAGCCACCATTATTCATATCAACATACAGACTATAAGACAGTAACCAACATGAATACATAGTAGCCAGGGTCTGAACACAAAGGGATGATCAGAGCCCAAGAACGTAATCAAATAACTAATTTGGGGCAATCTACCACATATTTAATGATTCAATTCCTTATGTCCATGAGTTAATATGGTGTTTAAATTTAATATGTTTGACTTCCATTCACAAAGAAAAATTCTATGTATAATCAACAACTCTTATCACACTGAAACCTGCCACGTCAATAACTCAGTTCATTGGAAATTTAGGACGATACTGATTAAGAGAATTGCTTATTGGTCTTCCCAAGGTAGCTTTTAATAACTATTATTAGTTTCTTTCCTCAGCTACAACAACCATACTTAGTAATGCATATACAAAACCTAATTTATTATTATTACTTTCTAAATAGTGCACAGAAAGGGCTGAGATGTTACTCTAAGTCCACAGAGGTACTCATGTGAGTGACTGTGTTCTGCAGATTCATGGAAACAGGTGCAAAAACTGATTTTAACAAGCTACAAGATGATAAATTCTCATGCACCTGTGATTAAATCTTCACATATTCCCAGAAGTCGGTGTGAAGACTTCGTTAAAAGGCACAGCAGTGATATATCCTATTGTGCCATTTCATCAAGAATGGTAAAGATGGCAAAGGGTTGAAGTTGAACACATACCTTGGACTAGAATGTAGCACTTCAAAATAAGCCTAAAAAAAAAAAAAGATGTGTATCATCTGGACCCTAAATGACCATGCTGCAATTTAAAATGGGAGTGTTATGTTGATGTTATTATATATCCATAAATGCCCATACACCCAGACATATACACATGACTAAAATTTTCTAATCTGATGATCCAAGACCTAGCATTTATTAACCTAAAACCCTAGTCAACTTTTGGATGCAAACTGTTTTCATTTGAGTCAAACACTTTCCTACACCTTATCTTCTTTGAAGATACTCTGAAAATTATCAAATCAATTACCTTATAAAACAAACCTGTTTTCATAAGCAGTGATGCTTTTTTGGTCTTTTGGCAGCCATGCAGGATATTGGGAAAAGCTATATACCAGTGGACCAGATGACAGAGAGGTGTTTATAGACATAATTCCCAAGGTCCAAAACTGGCTTTGAAGTGAGGAATTTTTGAAAGCTACTTGCTGTGGAAGCACCCATCTGTGACCTAATGCCACTTCTCATACTTTGGTTCTGCCACTTACTATAAAAAAGTGGAAAATGTCAGAATAGCTACTTGCTTTATAAAATGGCTTTATTTCATTTTACAGAAACGATGCTATTAAACCCGTCTTAGAAGGGGTAGGTTTCGTGTATTTTCTTTTTCAGTAGTGATGGTTTTCCACTGACCATCGATTATTTATTCATTAACCCAATTATCCATTCCGCAAATTCTCCATCATGCCAGGCATGGGACTAGGTGCTACAGATACAAAATGAAAAGACTCATATTCTCCCTATGAAAAGATTACCAACCATTCTATTCTGATTTGTTAGCATTTACTTGTGACCAAGAAAGGCAGCAACACTACATCAAATCAAAATAATTTAGACTTATAAACAATCTGCTATGTGACCAGAGCAGAGAATTTTATGAAGTCAGTGAGTATAGCACTGTAAGTCAAGGGAAAAATCTATAATATAAAATGATCAATTCACACAGCTGATGCATGTTAGGTTTTTACAGTATATGATAGTTTTGTGTCACCTTTAAGTCTTATTTCCAAAGCTCATTTAGCTGAGTTAAAATGGATCAGAAAGTCCAACAATTAAGTTTTGATAGTAACATTTCTGGCATTCAACACAGAGTCACTGCCATCCAACCGTTGTGTATAAAGAAACACAATACAATCCTGTGTGATCCACATCACACTCAAGTTAACAGTTTGTTTTTTTTTAATTCACATTTGGGGGATGGGATGCTATTGTCTTGTACAAATTGCTTTACACAATTTTGTATTGTGATTCCATTTGTTTTCTCTAAGAGGACATATAAAAGTACCAATTCCATGAGACTGGTTTGAAACTGTACCTGAACACCAACTTTTATTATGAAAAAAAATGCTTAAAATAATTTTTTCATTTATCTCTTCAAATAAATTATGAATGAAAACACAATGAAAATAAAAGGTAAGAGTATTTTGATGTTTTATTATTAGAAATAGTCTTAGAAATTAATGACTTTTACTAAAATCAATATGATTTCCAAAGATTTTAATCTTGTATTTTCTCATGTTATGATATTTTTGAGCTGTTGGATGAGTAGTATGAACAAACACTATGTTTTCGAATGCTATTCTTATTTTAGAGAAACTTTTATTATTTAAAAATGAATTCTGAGTGTACATATTTTATCGTATGTAAATTATACATCAATACAATTGATTTAGATGCTTTAAAATGAATTTTCGATAATATTCAAAGAAGTGCCAGTTAGGGGCATGGTACACGGAAACTATTGAAAAAATACTGTTATACATAAATTTAAAGTAAAACGATAGCCAAATTAAATTTGAAAAAAAGTGCAAGAAATTCAAATATGTACAAACTCTGTATTCTCGTTTCTTGGTCAGGCGTTAAGTCCTCTGTGACTGAATTTGGTATTCTTTGCCTTTCCTTATGCACATTACTACTACCCTTTTAATCTACCTTATTGCTTTGAAGAAAGCTTTCCAAAGGTTCCTCTCAGCACTTAAGGACTCATTTTATAGGCTATTGATTTGTACTTGTTGACATGTTGCTCTTTGAATGTTATCTCGGGGATGTGCTTCATCTTCCCCATGGAGGCATGTTGCAGGGCGCTCTGGGTAGCCAATAGACGTAGAAGAGCACTCAGCATTATGTGAGCTCCTTGCAGGTGTTAAGCGACTGCTTGATCTTGGTGAATGTTGCCAGCTTTTTGTCTAAGTCACTCATTGTCCCCCTCAAATATAAAAAATATAATCATCAAGAATGTAGCTAAATTATCAATGATCAGTTTTGAGGCTTTTTCTGCCTTTCAGAAAATTCAAATCTGTCCCTTTTAATCAGTGATTTTTGGAAAAAAGGGCACCACCAAATTTTTATTCACAAAATTATTGTTTCCAAATTGTTTTTCCTTCATTTAGTTGGATTATAAGTTCACATATTCTTTCTCAGCAGGCAGAGATCAGCAACAACTACCACCACCACTTGTGTCAGTTGTTATCAGTTTTTTATGGATTTCTCATTCAATTTTCTCAAAAAAATCTATGAAGTACTATAATAATGCCTACTCTATGGTTATATAAATAAGGATCAGAAAGTTTAAGTTACTTGCCCAAGGACATAGAGCCTTTGAAAAATAGAGATGAGATTCCAATGGATAATGCTGTACTATCAATTAATAAATTCCTAGAGATTGAATTTGAGAGGTTGTCTCAATTTACAGATGAAAAGCTTCATTTGAAGGAAGTAAAGTAATATATCAGAAGCCATTCTCAATAAGGTCTGGATGAGTATGTAGACCTGTTCTGCTGCTGTCTCTCCAACACACCACTCTCCTACCTAGCTTACTCAGCATGATGTCCAAACAACTTTATAGATTTCCAATTCACTTGATTTTAAAGAACCATGTTTGGTAGTTTTTATTTTAGAAAGAAGAACTAAAGCCAACAAACAAAATAACAGGATTTCTGAGTACACAATTTTAAATGAGTTTATTTTTTGTGAAAGTAACAGATGATCTCTCTCTCAAGCCATTCTTTTCAATGAAAAAAAAAAACAGACACAAGACTGAGTTGATGACTGACAAGTGATAAAAATATAAATAGCACATTGGTGTTTTGCTGATGCCTATTTTGTATGTTTAGCTACATTATTAGTAATCACAGGCTTGAAATAATCTTCCAAAATATTCATTTGCTATTATTTTCATTTCGGAACCCAGCAGGAAGCCCTTTAAGGGACATAAAACAAGATCTAGGGTAATTCTATCAATCGCTGAGCATTCAGTGCCTAATATTCAAGCACAAACAATTCTCCATGTTTCCATCTTTACTAAAAGATGTCTAATTCTGAATTTGATTATTATCTAGAAACTTTGCCAATTAAAATAGGCCATATTCCTGTTTGCAATTTCTTCAAATAAGGCGTCAATTAGTCACATTCCCAAATTTTCCACAACCGAAACTTGCCTCCATCCTTTTTCCTTTTCTACCCGAGTGCTTTTTCCCTTCTACCTGCCCTCACTTCCTCTTTCCTACTATTTTCTCCATTGTCTTTTTTTCTTCCTTCCATCCTCCCTTCTTTCCTCTCCTTTTCAATGTTTTCTTTTTCTTTTTTTAATTTCAGCATATTATGAGGGTACAAATGTTTAGACCACATATATTGCCCATGCTCCCCCTTCCCCCTCGAGTAA